TTCTGGCCTAGGGGTCCTTGTGACACTAGGCAATAGTGGGAACAGTGGCTAATGAGAGAGTCTGTACCGGCCCCAAAGGCGTGAGCACTTGTTAAGCCCAAGAGACAGCTGTCATATGTGAATGCAGGCCCAGTGCTGCCAGATAATCTAGTCTTTCAAGGAAAGCCAGAAATCCAGATTAAACAAAAGTATTAAATCTTCTGATCTCTATTTCCTATATAATTCTCCTTCCCCATAACTGTCACCATCTTTTTTTGGTCACCATTTCTATCCTTTCTCCTTAGAGAATTTTTTTTCAAGAGTTAATTCTAGGGCCGGCCCCGTGGCTTAGCGGTTAAGTGTGCGCGCTCCACTACTGGCGGCCTGGGTTTGGATCCCGGGCACGCACCGACACACCGCTTCTCTGGCCGTGCTGAGGCCGAGTCCCACATACAGCAACTAGAAGGATGTGCAACTATGACATTCAACTATCTACGGGGGCTTTGGGGAAAAACAGAAAAGGAGGAGGATTGGCAATGGATGTTAGCTCAGAGCCGGTCATCCTCAGCAAAAAGAGGAGGATTAGCATGGATGTTAGGTCAGGGCTGATCTTCCTCACACACACACACACACACACACACAAAGAATTCTAGTTTTAGTGATGATTGACTTTTCACTGTAGAATTTGAAGGTTTAACTTACTTTACACCCTCTTTCCTCATCATACAAATATAATTATATCATAATTTTTAAATTAAATCATCATTTGGTTCACCTAATCACTATATAAATAGTTTTCAGCGCTGAGCTCTGTAGTCACATGTCACTTCTTGCACCACTTTTTCTTTTCCATGTGATTAATCCTTGCCTCAATTAAGAGATGCTTAGTTGTCTGTGTATCTGTCACTGATCTAACTCTTTTTCAGACACATCAGATAACTGTGGTTTGTTTGTTTTTTAACTGAGACATGCCTCTCATCCTTTGTTCTTCTACCCCAATTGAGACTGTTACATAGCTGTCATTTTAGAATTTCCCTTCATTATATTCCCGTGGATTCTCTTAGGACCATCCCATGGATGCCTTTTACCTCTCGCCTTTGAATTCCTTTTGGTGCTCTTCTATATTTGGATGTCTTGGATACCCTTGTATACCCTGACTGCTGGATCTCTTGCCTTCCTCTTTCTTTGTTTATTCCCTCATTATTTTCAAGCACATCTTCCAAAAGCAACCAAGGAAAGTATGCAAGAGAAGTAAATAGAAAGTATATTTTGTGAATCTTTGCGTGTCTGAAAATGTTTTCATTTCACCCTCTTATTTTCTTATTTGATTGATAATTTGACAGGAGATGTAATTTTAGGTTGAAAAACTTACCTTCAAATTTTGAAGGCATTGCTCCATGGATTTCTAAAATCTAGCATCTAGTGTTGAGAAGTCCAAGACCCATTCAAGTTCTTAATTCTTTTATGTGACCTGTTTAATCTCTTTGGAAGCTTTTAAAGTTTATTCTTTATTTATGATGTTTTAAAATTTCATGTTGAGGTCTCATGATGTTGATTTTATTCTTTCATTTGGCTGGGCATATGCTGAGACATTTCATTCTGGAAACTTTAAGTCTCTGAAATTGTCTTGTGTTATTTTATTGGTCATTTGTTCCCAATCGTTTTCTCTGTTCTCTATGTTTCCGACTTTGATTGTTCACTTTTTATATCCAGTGCCTGGCACCATGTCTGACACATAGTAAGGCTCACTAAACTTTTTGAATTATTGAACACTCATAATTCAGATCTTAACATTTCTTGTCCTAGCCCTAGAATTTCTTTTTTTTCCTTCTATTTTCCATCTCTCTTTTTATGTTGTACTTTCTGTGAGATTTTAGGTTCTAATCCTTGTGTTAATTTTTATAAAAAACATTTTCTCTTTGAATATTTCTTTTTCTGACATCATTCTCTTGTGGGATTGTTATATATTGTTTTTAGAAGCAGTCTTCTTTTGATTTTTTTTTTAATTTTCTCTATTGTCTCTCTTTCCTGAGTTCCTTTCTCCTTTTTATTTTAATCTGTCATGTTTAAGATTTTCCTGAAACAGCTACTGACTCAAGGCTCTGCTCATCTAAAACTGCGGCATTAAAAAGCTGATTTGAGCTGGTTTGTGTCTGAGGATGTGTAGGTTTATTGGTTGTAGTCACTGTAATGATCTGTCTAGAACAGTTCATTGGCTGATACTACCTATCAGGTCTCTTTTCTTGGGCTGGTTTTCTCCAGAATGGAATCCTCTACTTTTTTTCTAGTAATTAATAAAATAAGCTGGGCTACCAGATTCTGGGATTTTACTGGGTACAGTGGGCTGAGGAATCAGCCTGCTGTATGGGATAGGTTTGAGAATCTGAAGTCTGTCTGTTTCTTATAGATCTTCGATTTATCTTCCTTTTTGCAGCCCCTCATGCACCCTACTTTCAAAGGTACCTGATGATTGCAGTTCTTGAAAATATCTGGGATTCCACAATAGGACCAGTCTGAGACTTAGGTTTCAGTTTTTTTCATGGTCTACCCTTTCTTCCATTCTCTTTGTCCTCATGGAGTTTCTTCTTTCGTTTAATCTCATTACTATCACTTTAGTGGGACTTCATGAAGGAGCAGTAATAAATGCATATATTTAATGTGCCATGTTTGGAAAGAGTATGTCCTTTTTTTCTAAAGGAATTTTTGAGACATTTTTTATTAAGGAGTATACATTTAAACACTTGCTAATTGAGTCAGTCAATAAATATTAGTTGATCTTCCAATATGTACCAGATACTGTGCTCAGAGTTGGGTACACATTGATGATGACAATGGACATTTTCCTTGCCTTCCTAGAACTTAAGACCTATTGAGGGGAAAAGATATTAAATGAACCTAAATAAATATGTAGTTACAACTTGTGAAAATCTTGCTAAGGAATAGAACGGAGTGCTAAAAGGGTGGTTATAAGCAGAGTATAATTTGGTCATGGGATCAGGGAAGGCCTAAAGAAGTATGATCTCTAAGTAGAGATTTGGAAGATCAGCAATAGTTATCAAGGCCAAGAATGAAAGAAAACACCTTCTAGACATAGGGAAAGGACCTGGAAAGGCCTTAGAAGGGACCAAGAGCTGGGAGCATTTGAACAACTACAAAATAGGCCAGTGTGGTTGGAGCTTGGAAACCAAAAGGGAGCATAGTGTGAAATTTAGTTGAGGAGGCCGGCAGGAACCAGATCATTCAGAGCTTTGTAGACCATGTTCAGGAGTTTGGCTTTTATTATAAGAGCAGTGTCATATGGGAAACCACTGAAGGATTTTAAGCAGAGCAGTGGCAAGCTAATAGGATTGCAGTGACATGGATTCAAGATTGCAAACCTCAAGTAGAGAAACTAGGTAGGAGGCTATTTCAGTAGTTCAAGGGAGAGATGTTTTATATTAGGTATTGTATTGAAGATTGAGGGAAGAGTTTCAAAATATATTTAGTAGCAAGATTAGGCAGTATTTGAAGAAGATGATACTAAGTGATTTTCACTTTTTGGGCTTGCAGTTTTCCCTGTGTCCATAGTGTGGTCTTCAAAACACTTCACTTGCCTAATGTCCCCATTTTTTAATAGAAATTCTTCAGTAATATTATCTCCCAAATACTAAATACTTATACCAAATACTTTTCATATATTATTCCCAATCCTCACAATGATCATAGGAGTTAGTTACCATTCCTATTTTATAGACTGAGAATTGGGGGCTCAGAAAGATGAACGAATTTTCCCAAGAAAACAAAGCTTGTAATTAACTGAGTTTGAGTTCAAAACACATATAACTGAATCTTGTACCTCTGATCTTTGAGTAGCGATACACTGCCTCCCATTATATTCTCCCCTTCTCTTTGAACCACAAATGCCCTTCCTGTCAGTTGGTCATCACTAATATAGTGCTTATGCACTTACTAAGTCCTCTCTTTTATTCTAAGGTCACCATCACAGAATTCCAAGGCAAATAGTATTTTCATCAAGCCCCAAACATATACCACGTCTAGCCACAGAAGAATCCTCCCTATCTACCACTCATGCTAGAGTCATTGAACATTTGACTTCTTAAGCTTTTCTCCCATCTGGATTGCCATCCTTTCTTTCCTTATCATGTGTTAAAGAGACTCTGGGCCTCCGGTCTACTGAATCTAGACCAGTGCTGTCCCATAGAACTCTCAGTGATGATGGTAATATCCTATGTTTGTGATTTCCAGTATGGTAGCCACTAGCCACATATGACTGTTGAACACTGGAAATGCAGATAGTGCTATTGAGGAACTGAATTTGAATTTTTATTTAATTTTAATTATGTTAAATTTAAATAGACACATATGCTAGTGGCTACTGTAATGGACAACACAGATCTAACCAGGGGCTGCCAAACTTTTTCTTAAAGGGCCAGATAGTAAATATATTAGGTTTGCAGTCAATGTGGTCTCTTTTGCAAGTACTCGCTTCTGCCATTGTAGCTCAAAAGCAGCTATAGAAAATACATAAATGAATAAGTGTGGCTGTGTTCCAGTAAAACTTTACTTACAAAAAGTGTTTCAGGGCTGCAGGTTATATTGCCAGCCACTGGGAATTTTCGCTCAGACATATTCATTTAATCCTGACAACAACTCTATTAAATAGGTATGCTCATTTTGCTTATTTTATAGTTCATGCTGTGGGGTACTCTTATATGTGTGTGTGCATATGGTGTGAGATTTTGTGTGTGTGTTTGTATGTACGCTTAGAGTCATCCTGTAACAAGGGAGATAAGATTAAGGTAATCTGTATATTTAGCAAGCTCCCCTAAGTAATTCTGATCTATAGCAATGTTTGGAAAGCGACAGCTTACTTACTGCCCTCATCTTACTATGCGATCTCTCCTCACTCTTCTTTTCTCACCCATTTTTTAAAAATTCAGTTTAATTCTCTCATTTTAATTGAAGTTTTACTTTTCCCAAACAAGAAAAATGTTAATGATTGCTTTCATATTTTCTTTCAGTCCTGGAATCAAGATGTGAGACCAAGAAATTATTTCTGAAGAAGGAAATTAATGAAATAGACTCAGCCCAGTGGGAGATAATGGAAAGACTTACAAGACATGACCTTCAGTGCTCTAGTTTCAGAGATGATTGGGAATGTAATGGCCAGTTTGAGAAACAACATGGCTCTCAGAAGGGACAGTTCAGTCAACTGATATTCACCCATGAAGGCATGCCCACTTTCAGTCAGCATCCATCCTTTACCTTACAGCAAATCATTAATAATAAAGAGAAATACTGTGCAACTAAGGAATTTGGGAAAACCTTTAGACATGACTCACAGCTTACTACACATCAGATAATTCATACCATTGAGAAACCCTATGAATGTAAGGAGTGTGGGAAGGCCTTTAGACATCCCTCAAGACTCAGTCATCATCAAAAAATTCATACTGGCAAGAAACCCTTTGAATGTAAGGAATGTGGAAAAACCTTTATTTGTGGCTCAGACCTTACTCGACATCACAGAATTCACACTGGTGAGAAACCCTATGAATGTAAGGAATGTGGGAAAGCCTTTAGTAGTGGCTCAAACTTCACTCGACATCAGAGAATTCACACTGGTGAGAAGCCGTATGAATGTAAAGAATGTGGGAAGGCCTTTAGTAGTGGCTCAAACTTTACTCAACATCAGAGAATTCATACGGGGGAGAAACCCTATGAATGTAAGGAATGTGGCAATGCTTTTAGTCAGAGCTCACAACTTATTAAACATCAAAGAATCCATACAGGGGAGAAACCCTATGAATGTAAGGAATGTGAAAAGGCTTTTCGTTCCGGTTCGGACCTTACCCGACATCAGAGAATTCATACTGGTGAGAAGCCCTATGAATGTAAGATATGTGGGAAAGCTTATTCTCAGAGTTCTCAACTCATTAGTCATCATAGAATTCATACTGGTGAGAAACCCTATGAATACAGGGAATGTGGGAAGACCTTTGATTATGGCTCACAACTTATTCAACATCAAAATTTGTACTGGTGATAAACCATAGAATTTATGAAATGTGTGGGAAGGCTTTAAATTATAGATCAAAACTATTCAGCGTCGAAGAATTTATCTTGATAATCTCTTTAAATAGAATAATGTAGAAACATCTTATTTGCTGACTGTAGCTTATTCAGCCCAAGAAAAATCATGTAGAAGCAGCAGTCTGTGAGTAAAATACATCTTGGAAGCCCTTTAATAAAAGCTCATATTTCTCTTGACATTAGATAATTCAAATCTAGCAAATACTGAAAATGACAGCACTTTTGACACCTTTCTAATGTTATCTTAACATAGAGAATTCATGCTGAAATATAATCCTGTGATTTTCATTTTCTTTTTTATCCTAATTTGTGTGTAGTTGTTATATTCTTAATCTTTTAATCCATCTTAAATTTTATATGACTGTAAAGTCCATCTGTTTACATCATGGTTTGTAAAATACTTTTATTTTTAAAATACCTTTAATACCTGAGACAAATGATGTCTTTATTTTTGAAGATGGCTTGTTCTTTTGACTCTACAAAATTTAGGCTTTCTTATTGTAAAAACGTTCATGAATAACTGTCCATTCAGTAAATAGAGATCCTTTAATAGTTTTATGGCATTTCCTTATGTTGCTGTAATATTATTTTATTGAATCTCTATTGGTAGACATTGTAGTTTTCTCCAGAATTTTTGCCGTTATACACAGTGTCCTGATGGACATTCTCCCTGGGCTTTATCATTGTATCATGTCTTCTATTTTAGTTACAGAAATAATGCATGAATATATTTTCCTCATAAAAGATTTAAACATTACAAATAAGGCAGACATACCCTTTGACCACCATTCTTGTACCCATCTCCCTTCCCAAAGGAGTGATTATTTGTTTAGTATTTATCTTTCCTGAACATTTTTCTATGTTTTTATACATATATGTCTTGGTAGAAATTATAAAATGGGGATAATTATAATACCTACCTCATAATTTTGTGTGAGGATCAAATAAATTAAGACACATAAAGTGCTTAGAATTGTGCCTCTCATAATAAATAGATACTCCCTGAATGTTGGTCGTTGTTATTCATCATTGTCATTAGTATTATTTGTTGAAAGACAGCTGTTTCGGCAGACTTGACTCAACATTAGACAGGATATATTGTTGAAGAAAGACCCATTGAGAGTAATGAATTAAGGAAATTTTCCATCATTATTTATTTCCAATGGAACATGAGATAATCCTGGGCGTTGGTGGGGAAAGTAATGTATGTAATGTGTGGGAAGGACTTTATTCAGACTGGCGTCCCTTTTACTACATCATATAATACTTAATATAAAAACAAACAAGAATATAGGCAAAACACTGGTGACATTGGTGGAGAAAAAGTGTGAAAAGACATTGTGTCTGAAAAATGGATAAATAGACATATATGCATATGTATATATACACATAGAAACCTTTTGGTTAACCAATTTAAAATGTTACATTGAATACAACACTTCTTTCCAGTACATTTGAAAACCTCAACAAAATTATTTTTTAGGAAAATAAAAATTACCAATATTGACTCAAAGAGATTTAGAACTCTTGGAAGACTCTCTTATAAACAAAAGAAAAGGAGAAATTTAGTGTGGGATATGGTAGCCATTACTAACAAAGCACCAAACCCAATTTCTTTTCAGGCAAAACGTTATCATGTTAAAGGAACTGTTTATTATATAGAAGCAGACTCTCATAACATACTCTAACATAATTTTGATGTTAGAAATGGATTAGGAGGGCACAAAAAAGGAAGCTATTTTTCAGTATCATCCATGCAGTTATATGCAAGCACACGAAAGAAATTAGCAAACTAATTTTCTATTGGAAGAGTCCTAGAACTGACCTTGGTTGGGACAGTAGCTAAAGACGATGCCCAGTTCCAGCTAACTGATGCTGTGAGGCAATGGATCCCCCATTTTGCCAGCTCTTCTGACCTTTTGAGAAAATCCAGAAATCTTTTTTTTTTTTTTTAGTGTGTGATAGCTCTTGACTTTTAAATGGCAGCTCAGATTTTTTTTAAGAAATCACCATGAGGACCAAAGAAGATATATCAACTCTGCAAGTGGCAAGTGGCTCATGGGTTACTTTTGTTCTGGACACTAGAGCAGTGAGTGCAAAAGGCTTGCAGCAGGAGTTTTTAATTGTGCAAATCCCTTGGCCACAAAGAAATTTAAGGGGTGGAAGGAATGGTACAATGCAAGATAATTTATCCAGAATATCCTAGATGTGAACAGTTTTAGATTAAAAGTATTTCCAGAAATAAAGTAGCTAAACTCCAAGTGTAAAGATTTGGACTTGATCCAGCCCCAACATTGTCTTTTTTTTAATTTTTTTGTGAAGAAGATCAGCCCTGAGCTAACATCCATGCTAATCCTCCTCTTTTTGCTGAGGAAGACTGGCTCTGAGCTAACATCTATTGCCAATCCTCCTTTTTTTCCCCCAAAACCCCAGTAGATAGTTGTGTGTCATAGCTGCACATCCTTCTAGTTGCTGTATGTGGGACGCGGCCTCAGCATGGCCGGACAAGCGGTGCGTCCGTGTGCGCCCGGGATCCGAACCCAGGCCGCCAGCAGTGCAGCGCGCGCACTTAACCGCTAAGCCACGGGGCCGGCCCAAAACATTCTTATATTCTTCTCTATTTATTTTTTATTAAATAGGTTTTGCAAACCATTTCCAGTGTTTTATATGCTTCTTAGGAAGATATTGCTTATAGAAAATTTTAGAGGGCAAGAGGATAAAGGAACAGAGTGTGCAGTTTTTCCTATATGTGTTTATGTGGGTGTGCATTCACACAGAGATTTAACATTTTAATCCATCTGGAATTCATTATTGTGTATGGTGTGATACAGGATGTCAGCTTTGTTTCCTTCCAGAAAATAAAGCCAATTATGCCACAACCAATTATTAAACTATTAACCTTTCTCCTACTGAATTAAAATACTACTTATCATATATTACATGCTCATATCCTCAGATCTATTTCTGTGCTCTATTTTCCAGCAACGTTTGACATACTTTTCAGTAACTTATTATTATTTATACTTATAACTTATTATTACTTGAAAATAAAGATGTATATTATTAATATATAGTTTTTATTTGGAGATAAAGACAACTCTTCATGAGAATTATTATTTTATCCAGTTCTAATAAAAAACTCATTGAGATTATATTTTGAATTTCATTCGCTTTAAATACAGAGTATCCCAAAATGAATTCACAATTGACATTGAGTGGATATTCATTAATACATGTATGTCTTGAAATTTCTTTGACAACTCTTCATCCTCCTTACTCTCTAATATCTTTATCATACAATGCTTCACCATGCTTAAAATATGCTAGTAATATCTGAAAGTTTAATATCTTTTATTAGAGTATTGATTATAAAATGATAGATTCTTTTGATCTTTTATAATCTGCAGATAAAGTGATATACCCATCTCACAGTATTTATACCTATTTTACTTTCTTGTCTTATTTCCTGTTGTAGACCTGATGACGGTGGGTGTTGGGCAGGACTTTTTCTTTTTACCATATTTTCCCCATTTTTAAAAACTGAAGGGTCAGTTTTTGAGCATAATTTCTGCTTCCTAGTTTCATCTCTACTCCTGTTTGTGTGTCCTGAAAGAAATGATGTATTGCCTTGGTGAAATGTGTCAAAACACATAAAGTACCTCCCTTTATTTGACCCTGAGTTTCTTAATGTTCTCTGGGGCAGGCTATGATTCTCTATGCCTACTTCCCAGGCCAAGTCCTCTGCTTGTATGTGTCCCAATATCTAAAGTTTGAATGAAGTCGTAGGATGTGCATTTTAACTCCAGATTCTAGCTGTCTCTTTCAACAAAAATGCTCTATTCTCAACTAGTCCAGAAATCAGGAGGAGAGAGTTATGATTAATTATCACCCACAGAAATTTCTACTATAGCCATCTTTGTTTTATTTCTAATTTTAATGGAAACACATATTGACTACAGTCGGTATGTTCTACCTTTTGTTAATTTGAGTAGATAAGGAATTCATTCAAAGAATATTGAGTTACTCATAAAGAATCTTAGAGTGCTGAGGAACAAAGACAAAGAGCCAGGAACAATGCTCCAAGTGATGACACAGTACTTGTGTGGTGAGATCACTGCTGCTGCTGCTGCTGGACACAAGAATCCCCAGCCTACACTACTGACGTGGGTGCTGGGCTCTGGATGTACCTGCTGCTGCTATCTGTGCACCGGGGGTTACCCATCACCCGGATGGAATCTCCACAGTCTTTGTTACTTTGTGTCATCACCTTGCTGTTCTGAGATGGGTGTGTTTAAGTGCTGAAGCCTCGGTGCCATCCTGTGCATTAGTTCCTGGGGAGGCTGGGATGCATTTTCAGTTTAGTGAGATTCAGCCTCTGCTTCTTAGAGATGGATGTTTCCCATCATAGGAAGGGTACACAAATACCGGGCAGCTAAACAAATGACCAGTGTTCACAAGACGGCATTCCATCAATATATATAATTCTTCCCATAACTGAAAATGAAAACCTCACCTAAAATAACATAGCCATTCCTCATTCAACCAAAAATGTGCTGGGTGGGCCGGCCCCGTGGCTTAGCGGTTAAGTGCGTGCGCTTCGCTGCCGGCGGCCCGGGTTCGGATCCCGGGTGCGCACTGAGGCACCACTCCTCCAGCCATGCTGAGGCCGCGTCCCACATACAGCAACTAGAAGGATGTGCAGCTATGACAGACAACTATGTACTGGGGCTTTGGGGGAAAAATAAATAAATAAAATCTTTAAAAAAAAAAAAAATGTGCTGGGTAATGTCTATACTGCCTCCCTATCTGTCACGATCCTGTGTAGACATTCTGTAACATTTTGTCTAAGTTGTAACAACCTACTTAAAAGGGAGAGTAAAATAGAAGAAATTAATAACACCATATAACTATATATAAATTAGCTAGATGTTCCAGCTTTCCTTTTTGTAAATGATAGTTGTGACACATTCTTTTTTACAAGGTTAGCAGATTGGGGAGTTTTTATAGATCAAGTGACCCAAACCTTCTTTCATAAAGGATCTGAACCCTTGTTGGTTGCTGTAGTTTTCTATTAACTTTTACTATTGGAAGTGCTAGGGGTAGGAGTTGACCCAGGGGAATCTTTGGGTTCCATCCGTGTTATATTTGGAAATTCAAATTCCTTGAGAACCAGGATCAATCAGTCCACCAACCAACTGCTCCCTTCCTCTCACCCCAGCCTTTGGTCTGTTGCCCATAGTCACAAGGAGCACCAAGTAGCAAAGTTATCATCCCACTTCACACTTCACTGCAATCACCGTGTCCACTGGCGAAAGCATTCCTTCGTGTATTCTCTACGTTATCCTTAGACAACGTGTCAAAGTTTGGCAATGTTTTTGATATTTAGGTTTGACTTTATAATTAGTCTTTCAGAGTATGCTGAAGTTTGATTATAGTTTATGGTCTGGGTATAAGGAAAGAGGAGCGTGAGAAAAAGTAGAACTCTTGCAAAATAACTACATCAGACAAGGTCATTATAGAATCTTCAAGCAAGGCATCTCTAATAACGCATCTTGTCTTAAAGTTTATGTTTTCTGCTAGTAGTATAGTTATGTGAACTTGCTTGTTTATTGCTTACATGACATAATTTTTTCCATCTTTAATTTCAGTCTTTTTGTGTCATTATAGATGTGTTTTATAAACACAATATAGTTGAATTTTTTAATCCAATCTGACATTCTTTGTCTTTTAGGTAGGGTATTAGATCCATTTTTCTTCATTGTAAT